CCCTTTCACTGTCCAGTCTGCTTCCACCCTTTCTCAGCACCTTGCTGGCCTCCATTCTGGACCTAAGGTCAGCAATGCACTCCTAGGGCTTCGTCACCAGCAGTTGTTCCTGATTCAGTGGCAGATCAGCCAGGTCATATGCTGATGCTACCACAAAGATCTATTGAAAAAGGGCAGATGTGGCTCTAGAGACTCTGGAAATTATATTCGAGTGTGTTTGTGGTGGTGGGGGAGGATAACAGCAAAAAGTAAACAAAGACAGGCCAGGGATGTAGCTCACTGATAGAGCACTTACTTAGCATGCATGTGCCCTTGGGTTCAGTTCCCAGTATTCTCCCCCCAAAAGTAAACAAATACAAACATAATTCCTCAATTGCTATGAAGAAAACAAACAACAGGCTACGAATTTGGGAGGGTGGGGGGTCAAGACACCAATCAAAGGAAGGAAATGAAGAAACATGATGATCTTTGGAATATGGAAAGAGACAGGAGGAGAGTTAAAAATGCCAGAGACTAAAGGCCTGTTTCTCTAGGATATGGACATTGGGAACAGATCCAATACATGGTCTTAGCAACTGGCACTTCCTGAACTTATCTCATCTCCCCACTCTCACCCCCACACTCCCTCTTTAGCTTAGTGATTCATTGTCAACCTTTCCCTAATTTCCTGGGTGTCAGGGAGGAGCAGGAGCAGAGCCCTGGGTAGCTAGAATGGGAATGAGATCAGGTGAGAAAAACTGATGAACAGTCTGGGTTCTCTGGGTCTTCTCTTTGTCTCACTCTGGTTCTGCCACAAAAAAAGAAGTCTCTTTGTGGCAAGAGGACAGTGAGAATAACTAGGCCCGACTGGAGGCCCAGATTCCAGATGTAGGAGGTGGTGGTGAAACAAGATCCTGACATCCCTTTCATTTCCCCTCCCTGCCTAATACCCTGCAGAAATTTTCCATTATAAACAAGTTATGCATTCCTGACTCTGGGTGCCTCCCCCTGTCCCCCACCAAAGTTTTCTTCCATCATCACTCTTTCCCCCCTCCACCCTAACTTATGTCTGTGCATGAGGGTCTGTCTACCCCCCGTGTCATGTATGTTAGTCACCGGGTTGTGTGTGTGACCTTGGAACAAGGATCCAGGCAGGTGTGCAGGTGCACTGTGCTCAGGTATAAATGTAAGGGTGGTGGCAGGTGTGAAAGGCAGATGTGGGAAAAAGATATCCTTGCAGAGGAGGTGTGTTTTATGCCTGCCAGGAAGAGGTATGTCATACGGAAGGGGACTTTTATTGTTTGGACAAGAAGAGTAGGTGTAAAATGCAGCACATATAGTGTCAGGAGGCAACTGAATATACAGTAACAGTATATCTATTTAGGGACTTATTTGCCTTCCTACATATGTCTTTGGTGAAAAATGCCCTTTGGTATTTCCTGCTTGGTGTATGTGTCAAGAGTTATCCCAGCTTTTCTTAAGACCCTGTACATTCGTTTGGGGGATTTGGAGGAGTGTATCCATGTTACAAAAGCTAAGAGGGGCTGGGAGTGATGGGGCAGGCCTATAATCCCAGCAACAGGGGAGGCTGAGGCAGAAGGGCCACAAGCTTGAGGTCAGCCTTAGTGATTTAGTGAGGCCCTGTCTCAAAAATAAAAAATAAAAAAGGACTGGGATTGTAGCTCAGTGGTAGAATAAAAAAAAAAAAATCCTGGAGGGATCTAGTGTGTGAACGCTATGTGCACATTTATAGCTCTGCATCTTCATCTTTAATTTAGCAAGAATATTGAGCAACTATTGCCTGGAGGCACCATGCTGGTTCTATGGAGGACACAAAGACATGTGTAGCCCAGATTCTAATGGAAGAGGTCATATGTGTATCACCTTCTTCACCATGCTGAATAGGATGGTGTAAAGTCCAAGAGTCAGCTCTGGTCTTTTCATCCTCTTGCTGTCATCAAGCCCCTTAGGTTCCCTTCCTCTAAAGATAACCGTGTCATTACCAAATTCTGGTAATCTCATGCTAGGAATATCTCTTATAATCACATTTTCAGGCCCATGTTACCTTTGATCTGAGCCCTTGCAGTAGCCTCCTGTCACCTGCCCCAGTCTCTCATCCTCTAGGCAATATTGTTCATCACAGTCAGTTTCCAGTTTGAACCACGAGCTTCATGGTGGAAAGTCAAACCCATGCCCCTGGCCTGCCAGCTAAGATTTCCCCACCCTGCCAAACTTCTTTCCAGCCGTTTTTATTTCCCACTACTCCTTTACAGGAAACTTACTCTGAGATTATTTTTATTGTGATTCCCCAAACACATCCTGTACTTTTCCAGCTCAAGGTCTTTCTGATTCCATTCTCTTTTTCATAGTCATCCTTTACATCTGAATTTGTCATATCCCACACACTGTTTAAAGTCATCTCAAATGGCACTCTTCCATGAAGTCTCCCCTGATTGATCACTCAAATATGAAAACTCGCTCTTTGGGGTTCCCTTTAACAGTTATTTTTTCTCAGGAGAGTTCTAGTGGTCATGGTCCTCTCCCCATGTCAGAGGGTAGGGCCCTTGGGGCCAAACTGGCAGCTTTATTGGACTTGCTTCATTTAGCAGCACAGACATAGAAACTGACTTCAGAATTCTCAACAGTACTTTTTCTTTTTTGTTTTTTTTTTTTTTTTTTTAATTTTTTATTGTGGGTTGTTCAAAACATTACAAATTTCTTGACATATCATATTCCACACTTTGATTCTAGTGGGTTATGAACTCCCACCTTCACCCCATACACAGATTGCAGATTCACATCAGTTACACATCCATTGATTTACAAATTGCCATACTAGTGTCTGTTGTGCTCCGCTGCCTTTCCCCTCATCCACCCTCCCCCCTCCCCTTGTTTTGTTTTTGATATGGGGGTCTTGACTGTGTTACTCAGGCTGGCCCCGAACTCCAGGGCCAAGTGGTCCTTCCTCCTGCCTCAGCCTCCTGAATAGCAAGGACTACAGATACGTGCCACCACACTCTGCTTTAGTGGTAGTTTTAACAGAGCTCCTGCCACAGGTGAATACTCAAAAAATGTTAAATTCCATGTTCACGAGTGGTCTCTAAGGCAGTATGGAAATGTGTCCATAGTGTGTTGACTAATTATCACTACTACAACATTTGAATAATGTCTCACAATTCAAGAAGTTCTTCACATAAATTTTGTTATTCGACCCATACTACTGGGGGGAAATATGGGCGGTTACTAACCTCTTGCCTTTGTATTTTGTGGTTCTCTGTACCAGCCTATGTGTGAATATTTCTGTACACACCTAAGAGTAATTTTGTTGTTTCTGTGCAGTCTTTACTTTGTGTTGTGTCACGTGCATATAGCATGGGAATGTGTAATGTACTTGTGTGTTTTCATGTGTGCTAAGAATGGGCAGGGCTATGTCTGTTTGTGCTTTCTTCTGTTTGTATGTGTTTTCTTATTTTTTTAAAAAATTGTCTTTTTGGGGGTTGACACCAGGAGCACTTTAACACAGCTACAACCCCAAACCCTTATTTATTTATTTACATACTTATTTAGAGGCAGGGTCTTGCTAAGTTGCTTAGGGCTCTACTAAGTTGCCCAAGCAAGCGTGGAACTTGTGGTCCTTCTCACAGGGATTATACAGGCATGTACCGTTATGCCCTAGGGAGCCAGGAGTGTGTGCTATCCACATGCCCTTGGTGTGTGAATGTGTGTTCTAACTGCGGTTCCTTGACCTTGAAGGGTCAGTATTGTTGCATAATGGCCATATCTCCTTTTCTAAGACCCCCAGCCTCCCCACGATGGTGGCTGAATCATCTTCTAAACCGTAGTGGGCCATGCTCCAGCTGCCACAATGCCCCAACATGTGTCTGCCCCCTGGGATTTCACCCACCAGCATTCACGACTCGCACGCACAGCGTGCACTCGGGCACCTAGAGATGCACAGTCCAAGTCTCCACCCACTCCCTTTGCTTAATTGTTGGAATTTCCAGCCCGGCTCCAGCCAAATGCTCCCCTGCTGCGAGAGGAGGAGTTACAAGAACCCGCCCAATTCTCTGTGTACTTAAACAGCTCTGCCTGGCGGTAGGTCAGCTCTTAGCTAAACTCTCCTCAGCACTGATGTGTCACTCTCGAAGCTCGCTCCCCACCATGACCGGCCTGAGGGCCCCGTCGTCCCCCGCCCCCTCCACCGGCCCGGGACTCCGGCGGGGCTCCGGCCCTGAGATCTTCACCTTCGATCCTCTCCCGGAGAGGACGGTAGCCTCGGCCACACGCCTTGGCGCCTCTCGGGGGCACCGTAAGCGCAGCCGCAGGGTCCTTTATCCTCGAGTGGTGAGTGTCTCGAAATTGGGGAGGCCGGGGGACACGCCGCCCTGGTGCCCTGGGGAACTACTGGACTCCGAGACCTTGACTGATCTGTCCACTTTTTTGTCTCTCCTAAGGTCCGGCGTCAATTGCCAACCGAGGAACCTAACCTTGCCAAAAGGTTCCTCTTTATTCTTCTCGCCATCATCTTCTGCCAGATCCTAATGGCTGAAGAGGGTGTGTCGGCACCCCTGACGCAGGAGGACGTCCCCAGCTCCGCGTCCCCTGTGCCCATCCCTGCTCCCCCAGTCCTCGAGCACCTGAATCTGACTTCGGACCCCTCGGACTACTATCTGGACGTAAGCACCTTTCTCCAGCAACACCCAGCTGCCTTCTAACAAAGAACCTGAAAAACCCAAGAAACACCAGGCGTATCTGGTGCCCGAGAGTGTATCCCAAACTGGGACTTTCAAGGCAACTAGAACTCAGAACACTACAGCCAAGACCAGGCCGACCGATGATTGGGGCGAGACCGGAGACAGACCCGTCCAGGCTAAGCCCAGTGGGGAAGGAGAGCGGCGTTAATTTATTTGTCACTACGCCTAATTAATATTTATATGTATTTATGTATGTCCTCCTAGGTGATGGAGGGATGTATGTAATATTTATTTTAACTTATGCAAGGGTGCGAGATATGCTTCCCCTGCTGTAAATGCAGATCTTTTGGTATTTATTGAGCCTTGTGAGATTGGTGGAGGGAGGGCTCCTAGAACTGAGGCAGAGTGGGAAAAGGTAGTGGAAGGGACGGGTGGGATGACGCCCGAACTGGGAATCGGGCATGGCGGTGGGTCGTAGGTTTAGAGGATGATACTCCGTTCTCCAGCACCTCAACTCTACCGGTCTATGTCTGAGATTTAGGCAGACCGTTGGGAATAAAGTCTCAGGCCTTCAATCTCGAAGTTTCCCCTTACGGACAGCGGGGTTGGACGTCTATGGGCTGTCAGGAGGCGGCAGCCGGAGGTCGCCCAGTATGTTCTGTGAACAAAATAAACTTGATTTACTGAAAGCAGTCCTCCGAGTGTATCTTTGTCCGCGGCGAGTCCCCATTACCCATCTTCACGCCCCAATGACTGGCGGGAGGAACTGTGGCCACATCGCCAGTCTGTACCTCTCCCCGGGCCACGAAACCCATTTTACCCGGAGTCACGGGACGGATCCGGCCTCCGAATGCAGTCGTATGTGGCTCATCCTGCGGTTTTACCAGTTAGTCCGCGGCAAACCCGAGATGTGGCAACCTTTCTTACTTAGGAAAGCCTGCGGCCCGCGCCGCGGGGCGGATCGTGGAGGGCCTAGGCGGGGCCCTGGGCTCTGGCAGATGACCGGGCAGCGGCCAGTGAGCCCCACCCGGGGCTCGACTGGCAGCCCGGGGGAGCTGGCGGGCTGCAGACCCAAGCGGGGCCTGCCGGGAAAGGGGCGGAACAATCGCGCGGGGCCGAGGGGTTGGTCCGCGGCGGGGGCGGGGTCGCGTCTGCCGCAGCAACAGGGCGCGGCCGGTTTGGGGGCGCGCGTGTGGGCCCAGCTTCCAGTAAGGCGGGACCGCCGCGTTCCTGCTGGTCTCCCAGCTCTGCACGCCCCTGCCCTTCCGGAGACCCCAGCCCCGCCGCCTCCCGCTTCCGGGAAGGTGAGTGGGGGAGGCGAGATGAAGCCTGGGGCTGCAGAGGATGTGCCTGGTGGGGAAAGGTCTGGGGCCCTCAGGCGCGGGAGGGCTTCATCTGATAAAGGGGAAAGGGCGTGCACGCGTAGGAAAGGGTCCTTGGGAATCTTAGGAATTTCACAGAGAAGAGACTTACCGGACCTCTGAGCACCGAAGGAATTGAGCGGTAGCGGGTGCAGACTGGGTGGGTCTGTCGGAAGGGAAAGGGTTCCCTCCCTTGGCCGCCACAGCGCTCCTTTCCCATCTGCAAAAGCTTCTTCTTCCTCCAGCTCCGGTTTGAACCATGTTTTTCACTTGTGGCCCAAATGAGGCGATGGTGGTCTCGGGTAAGTATTCTCTTTCCCACAAGTGAACCCCAAACCCCTATAAGTCTGGTCTCTGCCCCTTCCTCCCCCTACCAGCTCCCGACCCCAGACCCCAAGCTTCTGCCCTCTCATGACCTCCAGCTACCTGCTTGAGTTAGGAACTCCCAACTCCAAGGCCCAGGCTGCCTTCCCCAAAAGCTCCCATATCCTCTCCCGTGGGCTGTTCCTACCCTCAAGTTCTTCATTCTAACACATCCTAGTTGTATCGTGGCTGCATAATGCCTTCACCTTGCAGGTTTCTGCCGAAGCCCCCCAGTCATGGTGGCTGGAGGAAGAGTCTTTGTACTGCCTTGCATTCAGCAAATTCAGAGGTAAGTAGGAAGAGAACCAAGGAAGGGGAACCTCAGTTTTCACTCTACTCTTTGTCTTACTGTCGACCCCTTCTTTTTCCCATAGGATTTCTCTCAACACACTGACCCTCAATGTCAAGAGTGAAAAGGTTTATACTCGCCATGGGGTCCCCATCTCAGTCACGGGCATTGCCCAGGTGAGGCTTTCAAAGCCTTTCCCCACCAAAGTCCACTTCCCAGTCTCTCTGTCCCACACATTAAGAATTTTCTGACCATGGCCTTCTCAATATCTGCCTCAAAAAAAAAAAAATGTCTCTGCTATTGTCCTACTACAGCCACCCCAAGGCACTTGGCTCCTCCTCCTCTTTCTCCCTGAGATAGAAGAAACTGCACTTAGAGGCTTCCCCTTCCCTCCCTACTTCTTCCTTGGCTTCATGATACCTAATGACACCCCGCCCCCCCATCCCTACTCTGGCTGCAGGTGAAAATACAGGGGCAGAACAAGGAAATGTTGGCGGCTGCCTGCCAGATGTTCCTGGGGAAGACAGAGGCTGAGATTGCTCACATTGCCCTGGAGACGCTGGAGGGTCACCAGAGGGCTATAATGGCCCACATGACTGTGGAGGTGGGCTTGGGGACAAGGAAACATCCAGTAGAGATGCCATACTGAATGGAGCCTAAGGACTCAGCTAATCTGTGAGACATGGTGGATCTGAGAGCTTAAATTCCTACCATTCTTTTGTCTTAGGAGATCTATAAGGACAGACAGAAATTCTCAGAGCAAGTTTTCAAAGTAGCCTCCTCAGACCTGGTCAACATGGGCATCAGCGTTGTTAGCTACACTCTGAAGGACATTCACGATGACCAGGTGAAACTAGGCAGCTATTCCTTCCCTACTTCCTTGCTCCCATCTCAAAACCTCGTGACAACTCTGGTTTCTGCACCTCTCCCATAGGACTATTTGCACTCTTTGGGGAAGGCTCGAACAGCACAAGTCCAAAAAGATGCCCGAATTGGGGAAGCAGAAGCCAAGAGAGATGCTGGGATCCGGGTGAGAGAGATGGGAGTTGCTCTGTCACCATAGGCTTATAGGACACACAGTGAAAAATGGGTAGAAGGGGCAGAGCTAATGAGACTATAGTACTGGGTTGGCAGGAAGCTAGGTGTGGCTGTGTATTCATGCCGGTAACCCCACCTATGCTGGGAGACTGAGGCAAGAGGATCAAAAAAAAAAAAAAGTTGGGGGTTGTAAACCAGTGGCAGAGGACTTGCCTAGCATGCATGGCCCTGTTTGAGAATTGTAAGAAGTGAGTTAGCAGGGGAAAAAACGAGGCCTGGGATAAAGGCAGTGAAGCCTGGTGAGGGGCAGGCTCTCATCCATGGCCTTCCTCATTCTGCCCTGACTTTTCCTACCTGATCTGTGTTTGGACAGGAGGCTAAAGCCAAGCAAGAAAAGGTTTCTGCTCAGTACCTGAGTGAGATCGAGATGGCCAAGGCACAGAGGGACTATGAACTGAAGAAGGCTGCATATGACATTGAGGTCAATACTCGCCGAGCACAAGCTGACCTGGCCTATCAGCTTCAGGTGAGAGCTGCCACACTAAGCAGATGGCCAAGCTGCTTATTGCCCCCTCCTACTTCCTCCTGTGCTCTCCATTCCAGCACACCACTATTTATCATTCTAACTTTGATCTTATTCTGGATCTCCTTTTCTGATCTACCTCCCCCCACGTGAAGAGAGACTCAAAATACTCAAACTTGAGCTGAAAAGCAAAGGAAAGGCATGAAAGGATGTGAGCCAGATAAAAGATGCAGCCCATGCACCACTTGCCAGGCTGTACACTGTGGCATGGGTCTGCATCCACAGAGAGGAAGTCACCTTTTTCTGATTTGTACAAGAGCACACAATAGGCTAATAGCAGCCCTGATGATCAAGACAGAGTATGAGGAAGGAAAACATGGACATAGACATTGAATCCTGAAAAATGATCTATGGGCATCCCTTAATATTGCAAGGAGGTATAACTGATTCCTGTTATTCATGGATCCCATATCTGAAAATTTGCCTATTCACTAAAATTTGTTAGTAACCCCAAAATCAGTACTTGCAGCACTTTCATGGTCATTGGCCTATATTGAGCAGAGTAGTGCAAAATCCTAGTTGCCTGATGCATAGCTTGCAGACAAGGTCAAACAAGAAGATGCTCTGCCTTCTTGTTTCAGCTTTCACACCATAAACAGAGTCATTTTCATGGCATATTTACTGCCACACTTTTTGCATTTTTTTGTGCTTTTTGTTGGTGATCTTGCTTTTCAAATGGCCCCTGGGGCTGGGAATGTTGCTCAGTGTTGATTGCTTGCCTAATATGCATTAATCTCTAGATTCTTCAGCATCACAAAAATAAATAAATAATAAAATCATAGGCCAGGCATGGTGGTACATGCTTGTAATCCCAGTGGGTTGGGAAGCTGAGGAAGGAAGATCGAAAGGATGAGGTCAGCCTCACCAATTTAGTGAGGCCCTAAGCAACTTAATGAGACTCTGTCTCAAAATAAAAAAGTTGTGGGTATGGCTTAGTGATTAAGTGCCCCTGGGTTCAATGCTGGTACCCCAAACATAGTGCTGAATTGCTATCTGGAATCTCTTAACACGAGAGGCTCTGATGTGCCTTATAGGAAAAATATATGTTACATAAGCTTTGTTCAGGCATGAATTGACATACTGTTAGACATGAAGTCTGTGTTACTGAACCAACTAAATAATATATAAAGTGTCTTTAAACAGAAACACATAAAACAAGCTTATGTATTGATTGGTTGATAAAAATGTTATGATTAGCCAGGCACAGTGGCACACACCTATAATCCCAGCAATTTAGGAGACTAAGGCAGGAAGACTGCAAATTCAGGACCAGCCTGGGCAACTTAGTAAGACCCTAAGCAGTTTAGTAAGATTCTGTTACAAAGTAAAAAACAAAAAATGACCCTTGGTTCAGTCCCTATTACCAAAAAAATAAGTTTTGATCAGAGGCTCACAGGAATCTGACCCATATTTCTCCTAGGAACAAAATAAGTATTAGCTAATTCAGTGTTCATGGCTATTTTACAAAACCAAACTAGGGTAAGTAATAAGAGTCAACGTTACCTTTGAGACTTTATCTGAAGGATAGCTACATTGTGAATTTTGTTTTTGCCAAGACTTGGTACTAGCTGAAAGTAAGTTGAGGTACAAAACATCTTTAATTATGATGTAGAATTTCAGCATGGTTTGACAGATTATTGGCAGTACCATACTGCTTTATTACTCAAAGTACAGTCCATCTAGAAGCAGCAGGAACACTGAGAAGGTTAGTGGAAATATAAAATCTCAGGCTCCAGTCTAGACTGACTAAATCAGAATCGGTATTTTTAACAAAATCCCAAGGTGATTTGCATGTACATTGGAGTTTGAAAAATATCACATAATAAAAACACTAGCTTACGGTGAGACTGTGGATATGATTCTTTTTTTTTTTTTTTTTTTCTTCCTGGATTGAACCCAGGGGTGCTCTTTCAATGAGCTACATTCCCAGCCCTTTTTTCCACCTCCTGGGTTTCTGAGATTATAGGTGTATACCACCAGGCCTGGCTGGTAAGATTTTTGTATTAGTCTCCTTTCTGTTACTATAAGAAAATATTTGAGATAATAAACTATGAAGAGAAAAGATTTATTTTAGCTCACAGTTTTGGAGGTTTCAGTCCATGATTGGGCTTGTAGCAAGGTACCATCGTGGAGGGAGTGTGTTGTGGAGCAAAACCATTCACCTCATGGCCATGACATAATGGCCCACAAGGCCCCAACTCCTAAAGGTTTACCACCTCTCAGAAGTATCACCCTGGGACCAAGCCTTTAGCACTTAGGCCTTTGGAGGACACTTATCCAAACCATTACAGTTCCTAACCTTTTAAAAAGGCTTTCCTTGTCTATAAATCCAGGCATGCTGGATGGGCTCCGTTTAACTCTTATCAGTTTCTTATGTGCCAGACACTGTGCTAGGTACTCACAAAGTAAATATTCATTTAGCAAACAACCTATTTAGTGTCTATATGT